GCTGGATTGCTACTATCTGTGTGACCTTGGAAAAATCAGTTCACTTCTCAAGCCCCAGTTTCCTCATCTGTGAAATGAGAGGGTTAGACTAAGGCCAAATACAGCTCTGGAATGTGGAATATGACAATTTCTGAAGGGATAGTCTTAGGCTGTGATTCTGCTTTGCAGATGAAAAGATTTAGGAGTGAAAAGTATGCAGACCTTGGCAAAGCTAGATATGCATTTATGATTCTCGATGAATCAACTGATTTTTTTCCCCTAGGTCTCCACAAGCCATTCTTTGTTCAGTAGTTTTTGTTTTTATTTTTATTTTTTTATTTCACAATTTTTTTTAAAAAAGATCTAAATGACTGCTATCATTAGCAGGAGACAAACAATTTGGCCATAGAATATTAATTTAAGAACTGAAAAATAATTGAATATGAAAGATTAACTTTTTTAATAGATGTAAATGCTCAGAGTTTTAGCTCTATTTTATATATCATAATGTAGTTGTTTTAGTTGACTTATTGAGAATTACGTACATATGGGTTTGCCAAGTTCTGTATACTTTTTATTCTTAAATATTTTTATGTGCAAAACAGGAATCACAACTTAAACTATCTCTTCAGAAGTAGTCACATGCCAACTTCTAGAGCTGTAATTATCCTTGGTTTAACTCTCGTTTCACAGATGAGAAATGGTTGTTTTCCAGTGTAATGGGGTGAAAAACACCAATATTCCATGGTGTTCTCTACAGAAGACCATAATGGTCAGATTCTCTATTTCTTGAGCTTATTTGCAAGACAGAGTCAGGAAAGAACTGAGTTAATCTTCCTTTTCCTAATGAGAGAACTAAAGCTTTGTAAAGTAACTTGCCCAAGGTTCCAGCTAGTTAGTGGTGCTTACAGGACTTAAACTCAGGCTCTGATTCTAGACTCAGTTACAATATATCCCTTCCTAATTTGGACTTGTTGCCAAAACGTCAGCTCCCTGAGAGGATGGATTTTGTTTTGTACAGTTACATCCCCACGGCCTTGAACCAGGCCTGGAATGGCAGGAGCAGGTGGGCCAGCAGTGGCCCGTGGACTGTTATTTCTCTTTCCATATTTCAGGTGATAGGAGCCTCTTTTCCTTCCATGCACAGATGTCTGAGGTCATCTGGACTCTTGGGAATCCAGGCCTGAGAAAGAGAGACTGTAAGAAGGAAGATGGTGACTCCCTCCTGACATTCCTGGCTTCTCAGTTCCAAATTTCTGTCTCAGGATGTTTACTGGATAGCAGTTTATTGGAAGGCATAGTGCTGAAGGAAAAATAAACCGTTTCATGTGAACTAATGATTCCAGTTCTAACCTCCAAAAATGACAAACTTCTCAGTTCTCTACCTTCTTACTTTCCTATCTATAGGATACAAACTGTATAAGTTTGTGATTTAATTGTCCAGGAAACTTAGTATTAATCTAACCAATAACTTTTACGTCCCATTGACGATTTGACTTCCCTTGCTTCTTTGATTTTGGGAGCCTTGTTTCCTCAGTATGAAGGAGTTTTAGAAAAGGTGAGAAGGCGAGCTCGGAGCTTAAGAAATAATAAAGAATAATACTGTAATCATAACAGCTCATTATTTGTTTTTAAGCTTCATCTTTCAGAAGGTTATTATTTGGAGTTGAATACTAATGGATTCAGGCTCTCTTTATGCAGAGGAAACATTAAACAACAGTTTTCATAGGGAAGGACATTAATCAGGAGAGAGAAGTGGGCCTCATGCCTAATAATTTTGCATAACAGCTACCCTTGGGTGTATTGCTTGACTTGAAAATAAATATTTATGCTTTCCATCTCCAGCACAATTGGGAATTACTTGTGGTTATGATTCATTCTGTTATATGATCTTCTACCTGTTCATAGGGACTTTAAACTGGGAGGCTGTTGGAAACCAACAAACATAGATAAAAATGCTTGTGGAGGAGTCTGAGGAAGAAATTGAAAGCCGCTTTAATATGGGCAATCTGGAGAAAATGAGCCAAGAGCAGGTCATAACTCTGCTTCCAGGAGGGGAGGGCAGAATCAAACTGGCATGCTGAGGGATATTTATATGCTCCTCTGATTCACTTTTAACTCTGCAATAGCTTCTCATCACCTGCAGGATAAAACCCAAGTGTCTTGTTTTGACGCAAGAGGTGCCCACTGGAGTGGTCCCTGTGGAGCTCTGCAGTCTGGTACTGAGGCCACTCTCCACCTCAGATGTGATAATACACCGCTTTGCAGGGTCCCTCAGACAACATGACTCTTAATTTCTTTGTTCATATCCTCCCTTCATCTTGTAAGGATTTTCCAAATCTTCTTTGCTAATTAAATCCACTTATCATGGAAGAGTCAGCTTAGACTTCACCTCCTCCAGGAAACCTTCTTTGAACTCCACAGCTAGCCAGTAAGTTTTCCCTCAGTCTCTCGTATGATCATTCATTCATTCATTTTTAGTTGTCCTTAAATAGGCTTTGTCCTGGGGATTTTTTCATCATCTTGATTTATTGCTTATAGGCACCAAATTTTATTACACAAATGCTTTCAGTTAATGAGTTCATTTTTCTTTTCTCTCTCCTTGATTCTTTTTCTAGTTCCCTTTTTTTTCCTTTGAATTTCTGGGGAATGTTTCAATATGATCTTGAAAACATAGATTCTGCGTGTGTTTCAAAGCTTTTATTAGCTGCCCCCTCGGGCAATTTCCCTAACCTTATTTCTTTCCTAATATGAATATTCTACCTCAGTCAAGAGAACATGCTGTAGTATAAAGGTCCAAATTCCCAGACCCACAATTGCTAATACTTTCCGCTGCCTCTCCCTCCTGTCTGCTGACTTAGGGTTTACTTCTTGGGGTTAAGCACCATCTCATTGGCTCCTTCATCCATGCCTCTCATCTGATGGGTGCAGTGTCAACAGAGATGTGTCTACTTGACTTCACACACCAATTTGACCCTTATTGCTGGGCTCCTGCTGAAGTGTCCATATGTCTTTTTCATGTATTTATGTACAGTCACAAAAGTATTGAAAACTACCCCTTCTGTTAATAGAACATCTATTTATCTAGCACTTTTTTGGTTTCATCCTTAGTACAGAGAGGTGAGCAGGGCAGCTGTTAGTCTTATTTTATAAATAAGAAAATTCATTCGAAAAGACTGAATAGCTTCTTAAATTTATGTGTCTAGTAAATTACAGAGATTAGAACTAGACTCCAATCCCATGCCTTTTCACAACACTGTAACCTGACAACCTAGAGAGAATTTTCTTCTGTTTTCTGTAGGCCTCATAGAGCCTAGTAGAGCTCTCTATGGTCAGCTCACAGAGGGCACTGGACAGAGGCTTGGACTGGACACAGAGACCAGCATGGTGATGATTGGACCACTACTCTCTGTGCCCCAAGAGAGTGACTTTGCTCTCAACTCCAGTGTCCCCATCTATAACATGAAGAGTGAGAGACACGTTTCCTTAGGTTCTTTTGACACATAACATTTTATTACTTCCCTTACTGTTATTTTTTTCTCTCTCCCCTTTGCACTTCTCTTTTTGCTTTCTTTTCACTCAGTTCAGCAACTAATTGTTGTGCATCAACAATGTGCCAAGCATTGTGGTAGGAACCATAGGGAGAGGAAAAGAGTATATTTCTTACAGCTTGTTAAGGAAAGGAAACAGTCTTCCTTCTCTTTCCTGTTCACCTTTTTTCTCCATTCTTTTCTTCTTCCTGCATCCTTCTTCCTCTTGTGCTTAAGTAGGCATCATCATTTCCACAGTTTTTCAAGGCCTCTGCTTTGGTCAGAGGGAAGGCACTCAGCCCTGGGCCAATGAATGAGTTTAACATGCCTGTGGTCCTTTGCGCCTAGTGACCCAGGACTCATCGATGCTCAATATAAAAGATTTGAGAGCTTCATTCCGTGACAGCCAGGGGCTCCAAGTGCTTTGATGTGTGATACTACATTTTTGGCTAACTCTATATGAGACACTACTCAAACAAGAAGAGCAAAATGACACTTTGAAAAGTAAATTTAAATTATTTTCTTTCAAATTTTTGTGACGTTAAAGCCTTAAAATAATATGCTTTTTGAGTAGTTTTAGAATCTAGGTGTTTATTTTCTGAAGGGACTATTTCTACTCAAATGCAAATGTTCCCTTTAGGAATCATAATTGCATTAGACACTCATATATACTTTTCCCTTTTGTCAGTCATATTTTCTCATTCTTCTACACCCTACGTGACATGCACATGCACTTCTGTTTTTTCTCCCTAAGGCTAGATAGTTTTACAATTAGTTTAGGTTATCTAAGACTTTTAGAGTTCCTTCCATAAAAGTCACTGATGAATTTGATGCTAAACACATGGTTGTTTTCTTCAAAATATAACTAAAATATACTTGTTTCCTCTTCACTGTCTCTGGTCCTCTTCATTTCCATAGCAGTGGGTACTTATTTATCATTACAAAACACACAAACAAAATTACTGGTGATTACTTGAACTCCAAGAGGATAAAGTAGAAGAAACTGGAGAGAAAGGAGCAAGAATAATCATAATTTGGCACCCACTCTGCCTTAGTGGATGAGTTAGGAACATTTATAGGATTTAAGTAATCCTTTCAACTCTCCTATAAGATTTAGACTTGCTATTTTACAGATGTGGACTCTGAGGCTCAGAGAGGTTAAACGATTTGCCCAGTGTTCCACAGCTTGTGGCAGAGATAAGATTTGAACCCAATCTGTGTGAGTCCAAATTACATGTTCACTTTGCTGTGCCAGAGCTAGAGGGGGCTCAGGAAGACTCTAGCATAATGGATGGGGTGGGTCCCTGTGTAGGGCAGGGCTGAAGAGGAAGCCTTAGAGTGTTTACCAAGATTCAACCTTTGGCATGCTTCTCCTTCCCTGGTTCCTGCCCCAAATGTAGACTATTTCTCCAAAATATGGATCCAGCCCTTTGTAAGATTTTAATGAGAGGGTCTTCTACTAATGGGACATCTCTCTTTTGTCTTTCACAGCAATTTTGCAGGCAGTAATAGCTGGTGATCTTATGAAGGTAAGATATCTTCCTACCAAAACTTCTGGTGATTCTTTACAGAACTTTAAATCAACATCCTTTCTCACCAAATTTTCATGATCCCGTATATCATTTATCATCCCCCTGCCTGTGCTGGCTGAGTGGAAAGAGGAAGGATGTTCTTTTGAGAATTGAGCAGAGAGGTTGAGAGGAGTCTTCACAGCATCTCCACATTTCCTAACAGCAAAGGGTTTGTGCAAGGGCACCATGCTATTTGCCGTGATAAGTTAAAATGGACTACACATCTTCGGGATGTAGTGCACACAGTGCCCAGGGTTCCAGCTCTCTAGAAGCTGATATTTGAAAAGTTTAAAGGTTGCCTTTCAGACAGGTCTTGAAATGAATGCATCTGTAAGAAGGACCTGGACAACACCCAGAAATGCATTCTCCAGGCCAGAGCATACCTCTTCCAACATTCTTACAGTTTTGTACTTTGGAAATCGCAGTTAACCGAAGAAGATACTCTATCTGATCCATGTTGAACATTTTAATTTGTGCTTATGTTTTCTGGTGAACTTCATTAAGAGGGAAGGAAGTGGTCGCTGCCTCTAGAGTGAATATAAATATTCACTTCAGACTGCCTGCGTTCAGATCTTGGCTCTGCCATTCGCTGTATGCGTGCCTTTGTATAATTATTTAATTCTCTCCGTGCCTCAGTTTCTTCATCTGTAAAATGGAATAATAATATTGCCCCCTCTCTCTGGTTTGTTGTGAGGATTGAATGTAATAATATCTGTAAAGCTCTTGAGACCGTTCCTGTTACACTCTAGAGTGCTATTTCATTAATATCATTATAGTGTTAGTCTGTGTTTTTTTAATAGCTAAACATAGTGGAGAGACACGTATTTGTTATAAAGTATAATACAGTCTGTGAGTATTCTAAAAGCTATATCTGGTCCCTTATCATTTTCAGGCATCAGGACTTTTGACTGCCCGTGTATCCCTGTATAGCCCACACTGGCATTGATCTCCTCTATAATATAGGCAACTGCCTAGGGGCAGAGGCTATGTCTTACTCTTCAGCCTATGTAGTATGGTGCCATTGCAGATCGAGAAACCAAAAGACTTAAAGCTGAGAAGCACGACCTTGTAGACAACTTCTTTTGAAGAATATCTGTTGAATAAACTGAGGAGTGTCTGTGTAACATTTTCAACAGGTTACTAGCAGAAAACAAAACGTGAGAATGTTGCAAACGTCTCGATAAACTGCCATGTTTAGATTCACATTCCTGGAAATGATCCCTGTGCCACTGTCCAGATCATAGTGTTACTAGGAATTGTTACCCACGAGAGAACAGTGCTCTCTGAGTAGTATAGCTATGAGTTCCATGCCATTTCCCAGCAGTGGATTAAACTGATACTATCCTATCTCCCTACAAGGTCTTACACTAGATTCTGTGGGAAATGAAGACATGCGTAAGACCTGATCCCTGCCCGTGCAGAGCTTCTAAGCCAGAAAATGTTGTAAACTACCATACACTTGAAATCTTTTCATTTTATTTTGTATATGCTTTAAGTCCAGCAAACAGATTTTCCAGGTCCTGAGTGCATTATCACACTTTTTTTGTACTTAATATAGAATTATTTGAGATATGGGAAATCACTATATCCGGCCAGTTATGATATTACATGCTCTGTTATAATTATTTCCTAAATGGCTAAGAAATGACTTAATACCATATTTACTGAGAGATGAAATATAGGGGCTTCAGTTTTTCTTTTTCACGCTTTTTCTTTCTTTTCCTTCCTAAGTAATTTTCTTCCCTTTTCTTTCTTCTCCATCTTCATTCATTTCTATCTTCCATGTAGAAAGTACAATAAAGATTAAATACTAAACTGGTTGTGTGTGTGTGTGTGTGTTTGTATGAGGGGGAGAGAGAGAGAGGGAGTGAGAGAGCATGAGAGAGCACGTGAGCAAGTGAGCAGAGAACAGAAGACCGAGGAACCACCACAGCGTGGGGGCTCTCAGGACTATCTACTGCACATTTGGGCTGCATAAGAGGCCCACAGACTAACTTAGTGTTCAGCGTCTAAAAACTCCACAGGCAGGCAGAGTCAAGGCAGCTGATGGCTCAGGTCTCTGTGGCTTTGTCGCACCCCAATCCTTCACAGCTCTGCCCACAAAGAGAGTGTCATTGTGAGACAATACAGTTGAACAGAACAGGATTCACTTAGATTTTTGTGGGAAACCGTTAGTGACGTCTTCCTCTTCTCTTGCCCCACAGTTTAGGGATGAACGTCCCCATGTGTTCCTTACCTTCATTCAACTGCTGCTTTTTGATCTCTTTCCTAGGAAGGCTTCCATGACTCTTTCCATTCCCTGCTTTATGCCTTCCTAGTGTCTTACAATAAACTCATCATGCTCCTCTCCATTACTGTCTATTTCTTCATACATCTGTCTCCCCCATGGACTGTGAGGTCTTTGAGGCCAGTGACTGAATTATATTCATCTTTGTTTCCCTGGCATCTGGCACATGGCAGTTCTGTGGTTGCATTTGAGTGAAAACATGAACTATAAGTTTACTCTTTGACCTCAGGAGATGTTTGACTTTTTAGGTAATGTTGTGCCATCTGACTTCTTGGTGGTAGAACACATTCCTTTCGCTTATTACCTGCTGGGTTATTTGATTATTATTTCTCCTAAAACTACCTTTTAGAAGCTCCAGAAAGACTCTTCTTGTTCTGATATATTGAAATTAGGAAAACAGGGACTCACTTACGCTTTCTATAATGTTCAGAATTTCATGAACTTAAACAATACCCTCATTTAGACACCTTAATCTCAGGCTGCAAAAATCTATTCTCATATTTTGGTATTTTGGGTTCCTACTATGTCCTCTGAATCCTTTTGGTTCTCATCTTGCAGATCGTCTCTGACCTTGTTGGGTATGTGTTGGATGATTAACAGAAAGCACGCAGGCTGGGCTGTGGGTCTGCATGGAGAAGGCAGTCGTATGTGTATGGGTGTGTATGCTGTATGCATGTGTGCAGTGATCTCATGCAGGAAAAGGGGAAGCAGCTTCCATATTTGGTAGCTAGGTTCATGAGAGATTGAACAAACACTAAAGGACAGGAAAGGAGCTTAACTCCCAGACACCAAGCTCTTCCTGCCTACGGCCTTAACTCTTCTCTCACTTGAAAATACTGAGCCAACATCAGGAAGCTTTATTCTCTTCTCCATCCTTTACTCCCTTGGGACAGAGACCAGTACCCAGAAAAGAAAAAGAGAAGACAAAAAACAGAAAAGAAAGAAGTAACTCAGCATGTTTCAGGTTCCTTAGGCTGTTCAATACCCACATACCCTCTCTGGAGTTAGGTGAGACACTGGCCATCTAGTTGGGTGATAACGCAATCCAGGATTGTTACTTCATCTCTGACTTTTTTTCTCTGTGTGCTCTGAGGCTAGAAACATTTGTGGTTTGCTATGTTACTCTTATTTTATCACAGGTTAGCTATTTTCCTTGTTCTTGACTCTACCTGAGCATCTTTTCATATGTCTCTTTTTCAGCTAATAGAAAGCTATAAAAATGGAGGCAGTCTGCTAATTCAGGGACCAGACCACTGTTCACTCCTTCACTACGCAGCTAAAACCGGCAATGGGGACATCGTGAAGTACATCCTTGACCACGGTGAGTAGGCACAGTGAGCCAGGGATCACTTATCCATGAAATAGATTGCATTTTCTAAGTTGACTTTCATCCAGGCTGTCTTCAGAATGGTGGAAATGCTCTCCAACTTTTAGCTGACTCTCCCTGTTTATTTGAGGCAGCTAGGATTGCAGACCACTGATGCTTATGAGTCACCTTACCCAAGCAATTGATAGAAATGATTTTCATGTCAAGGTCTTTGTAGGGTATTTTTTGGGCCAATTAATTAAAAAATAAAAGACAAAAAAAATCCAGCCTGGCATAATGAGCTTCATTGTTTTGGGAAGAACTTTTATGTTTTGGGAAGTTAATTGATTGGGACCAGGTACCTAATCCATATTTGCAGCTGATCATTCTGAAGATTAATGAGCATATTTTTTTCCATCTTTCTAGTTTCTCGTTTTTTTGCTGTTTGAATGTCATTCATCTTTTTTAACTCAAGACACTTTATTCCCTTTGAGAATATTTGGTCCTCTCGTGTCCTCTGTCACAGGCCATGCTCACCCTCTAGGCAGCTTCTGAACTACGTTTCTAATTTGACGTTAGATCCTTTGCTGGAAGTAGCATGTGCTTTAGCATCTTCCTCTAATAGTCCTTGAGAGGCGTAAACACATGTGATGAATACCAAATCTTGACCGTTACTTTCAGCTTCTCATGCTTACTATAGTGTTGCTAGAATAAAAAAGAAGAGCAAGGGAAAGAAATCTGCCTGGCTTGGCTTTTTTTGAGGAAGGAGTGGAACAGTCTCTAGCTCTGCTGGATATAGGTACACAGAGATCCTGGAAGATGTTCTGTGAGCCCTAGTAGTGAACCTGTGGCCTACTGGCTTTGCATCCAAATTCAGGCGATAAATACTGAGCATATTAGTAGGCATTCACATACCTTTTTGCTCTTCTTTTTCGTCAATTCAGCAAACATGTCTTATTCCATTCATTCATTCATTCATTCAATCATTCAACAAATATTTGTGGAGTGCCTAACAGGAACCACCTGTGATAGACCAACACACATACACACACATGCACGCATGAAAATAAAATACAGTGACTGTTTTGAAGGCTAAAGAAAAAATATAATCTTATGTATAACTAAATTTACAATAGTTGTATATAGATGTCTTAAGTCCTATTGTAAAGCCACAAGTAGTTAACATAGCTGCCATTTATCAAGCACGCGGTATATGCCAGATCTTATACTAACCTCATCTTATCATTTAATCTTTACAAGGACCTTGTGAGGTAGCTGTTAGACTGTCAGTCCTATTTGACTCACCTTGCTTTCTCTTTAATATCTTGTCACCATGAAGAGTTTGCTTGAACCTTTGGCCTGAATTATGGTGGAAAGAGTGGTTTAGGAAAAGAAAAGTGTGCTAAAGTAGGCTGATGCTCTTTAGAGGATTTCTTTCCCCTTTGTAGCCTGGGTTGGATAACCCCAAGCCTGGCTGCCCTGGAAAGCCTAGGTAGGTAAGTTGTATTCTTGGTGCTGTGTCTGGGGTGTACACCCTTCCATCTCCTACTCCCCTGACCATTCTACCCCCTGCGATTAAAGCATTCCTCTTTGGGCAAGACTTACAAAAACAATGGTGGCATAATTTCTGCTTGCTGCTTCCACCAAAAAAAAAACTCAGTTGTTGAGAGGCAGAACCAAATGTGAGAACTCAACCCCACGGATGACGCATAAAGTTGTAAAGCTTCTATGGTTATTTTTCCCTTAATAGACAAGAGCTCAGGATTTCTACTGCACAAAATTCAGGCGAGCTTTAGATATGTACTGTTACTTTATTTGCCTTTAGCTCAGGTTTAAAGTACTCCTGGTTGCTATCTTCTTCATCCTCAATCCTTTCTCTCTAGTTTGCCATTTACCCAGTGAGACTGAATTCCTGCTTGCATGCCTTAGGCTGTTCGGTACCCACATACCTACTCTGGAGCCAAGTGAGGCACTGGCCATCTATTTAAGTGATGACATAATCCAGGAATCCTCTCTCCTTCTCTCTTTCTTTACCTTTCCTGAAGAACTGGTTTCCCCCTCCTAGTCCTAGGATCCTCTCTGTGTCAGTTATCAGTTGATGTCTCACTTGGGCTCACTCAGGAGGCTGCAGTGAGCTGCAATGTTGACTGAGTCTGTATTTATGGACTCTCTCATGTGTTTGGTACTCTCAGCTCAGACAGCTGGAATGGCCTGGATGCCTGAGCTTTTCTCTACACCTGGTCTTTCATCCCAGGCTTCTTCACAGCATGATGGTCCTAGAGTTCCAGGAAGGTGAGAATGGAAACTTCTAGACATTCTTGGGCCAGGCTGGAAGGTTCTGCATCATCTCTGTGGCATTATGTTAGCTAAAACAAGTCACAGGGCCAGCCCTGACCCAAGGGATGGGGAAGTGGACCCCACCGCTTCATGGAAGGAGCTGCAAATAATCTGTGGCTGTATTTAATCTACCACCCTCCCTTACTCGCCATCTTCTTCAGCTGAAAATAATAACCCTACTTTCTCAATATCCTGCACTACTGACTCACCTGGAATCCCCTGGAGCTCTGCTTCCGTGTGTTCCTTTGGTTCTGAATCCTATGGTTGCTTAGCAGCAACAATTCCTTAACTTTGCAAGTTCTTTAACAATAACAGTTTCCCCCCTTAGCATAAGTATGTCTCATGCAATATTTGAGATATGCTGTTACTAAAAAGAAAACCAAAACCCCTTATCTCAGTTGAGTCTCCCCAGGAGCATGAGTGATGAGGCGTAAGATGACATTACTCTAACAGTGCCGATTTTCACTTCCCCCACGACTTCTTTTTCCACTGCCTTAAATAATAGGGCCTCTAAAAGCCCCTGGAACCCAAGCTCACAGGGGTTGGCGTTTCTAACCCCAACTGTACACATACTTTGCCTGGCGTGAAATCCAGCTGGCACATGAGTCTCTTAGTGCTTTGACCAAAGCCTGACATTCCAATACTAAACTAGTTTCTCTTCGATCCCCAGTGTCTTTTGCAAAGAGCAAATCACACAGTACAGCACTCTCTGTGAAAACTGAAGGACACAAAGGAATGTGTTAATTTCTTGGGGAGAGGGTGCTTATTTTTCCGGTTTTTCAGGTTATATTTTGTAAATTCTTTGGCTTAATATTTATGCTAACAAGAAAAAACTTGAGATTTCTGTAATCACCTCCCTTTCACTCACAGGCAAACAGTTCCCATGGTCACAGGAGGCATCCTATACCCTCCGAGCCTTGCCGGGATCTCCGCTGTGGCCAGTAGATACGTGAGAGAAAGGCTGTGGAGGGAGCGAAGCACAAGCGATCTCTTCTGTTTGAAAATAAAATCTTATTATGCTCTACAGTCCAAAGATCGCTGTATTTTTGATGGATGGCAATTTTTAACTTTTTACTACTATAGTCAAATAACGGAAACTAAATGGCAGTTGATTTTTATTGAAATTAGTATTTATCAATCTGATAGGCATTGCCAATTTCATTCTTAACATCGATCTCATTATTTCTACTTATTCAGGAATGTGGATGTAAAATCTTTTCACGTAAGCACACTGATTCACTAGAATCCTTAAGAGTGAAGCACTTCACTCAGCCATTTTGATTGTTGTTTGTTTGTTTTAATATCTTTGGTTGCTGATACCATTTATATTAACCTGTGCATTTGGGGATTGAAAACTATCTTCGCAGAACCATTCATCTCTTTTAAATCATAGAAACCCCTTTAAATTATAGTCTTCTTGAAGTCAGGGACAAGTATATGAAAAATGTGACCCTTTCTCTACTCTCTAATCTCCTGAATGTGACCTCTGCTCAGTGAAGTAGTCTCTCCTAATTTAATAATGATGATGGCTCTGGCGTTTCCCTGGTCTGACAAGGAAAATAGCCTCCCCCAAGAGGCCTCCGTGAGGCTGAGATTTGAGGATGCATACCAGACTATGGCTCTGTGTTTATTAATTTAGCGCCAGATTTGCAGGAGATAGGTCTCATCAGTTTGGAAATGAAATAAATAAATGAAAAAAAATAAAGAAAAATTTATACTCTGCCAAAGATTGAGAGGGACAGCCTTCCCAATCTGGAATGCTGCAGATCTCTTTGTAATTTTTAATTTTTTTAAATTTGTCTTTCCTGTGGCTTCATGTTATATAAATGCTAGAAACTGTTCCTAGACCTGATTGTAAAGATGCTTTTAAGGACAAGGATTCTGAGAAATCAGCATGCCCCTTCCAAGGTGGTTGACTGAAATGGTATGTGGCTTGTGTCCTTACTCAAGGACCACCACCCCCCAGTCACACCCCCTTACCCTCTTCTTCACTGGTTATTTATGGTGAGCAGTGGGGTGGGCAATCAGGAGGACACCCCCTGAACAGGAGTCGTGAGACATTAGTTATTCTCCCAGACACCACATTCAGCAATGTATTTCTCTTCTAAGGGCTCTTTTAGAACCAGGCTAGGGGGCTGGGGGCATGAGATGTGTGGTATGTTCTGAAAAGCCACAGGAGGCTTGAAGTTTTTTCATCCTGCATCTTCTTTGGGACTTTTTCTCTCAACTACGCAACATGCTGTTTTCCTTTATGAAAAACGGGAGTTTGGGTATTTGGAGGTTTGAAAAGAGAATGGAGGAGGAAGACAGCTAACAATTCCGTGGGGACAGGGTGGAGAGGGGAGGATGCGGAGGGATTCCAGCCGAGATCCCCCCAGTGGTTCCTGCTTTTCAGCTCCTTTCAACCATGTTTTTCACCCACTCCCTCCTCCCTCATTTACCCCTCCCAGAGACTTTTGTGTTGTTTTGGTCTTTTACCACCCTGCACATTTTGCTCTTTTGTTTTTATTCTCTCCACTCCTACCCCTTTGCCCCCTACCGTGTTTCCTGATAGAAATCTCACTCATGCATTTCCTTTTTGATTTCAATGGCTTATTTTGTCTTCCCTCTTTTTCTGCCTTCAGTCTTTCTTTTCTTTTTTTTTTTTTACCCCCCTCACCCCCTTTCTGCCTCTGGTC